AAATTGCTACTGGAGAAGCGAGGTTGTTGTGATAACCTGATGGTGTTTTTTTGGGGGGACAGAGAGTGTTTAAATTTTGAGCTGAAATAGTGGAGAGGGTGCCCGAGCTGGCCTACTTTGGTAATCAGATTGGTGAATACCCTAACTGTCGTCTTAGAGCCTTCATCCAGTAACTGATGGAAACAGATGCAGAGATCCACAGCCAAATACTAGCCCAAGCTCCAGGAGTCCAGTTGAAGAGAGGGAAGAGGGATTATTTTTGCAAAGGGGGCGGGGTGTGTGTGTGTGTGTGTGTGTGTGTGTGTGTGTGTGTGTGTGTCAAGATCATAATGAGAAAATCTACAGAGACAACTGAACCAAGCTAGTGGGAACTCATGAACTCTAGACCAACAGCTGTGGAGCCTGCATGGGACTAGACTAGGCCCTCTGCATACAGGAGACAGTTGTGTAGCTTGGTCTTTAAAGGGGCCCCTGGTAGTGGAATTAGGATCTATCCCTGGTGTATGAGCTGGCTTTTTGGAGCCCATTACCTATGGTGGGATGCCTTGCACAGCCTTGATGCAGGGGGGAGGGGCTTGGACCTGCCTCAATCAGGCTTTTTTGACTCCCCCATGGGAGGCCTTACCTTTTTAGAGGAGGGGTTGGGGGTTGGGTTGTGGGGGAAGGCTGGGGGAAAGCAGGAGAAGGGATGAGAAGGGGATCTGTGGTCGATATGTAAAATGAATAAAAAAGTTTCTTAATAAAAAAGGAAAAAAAACAAAAAAAATTGAGCTGGAAAAGCTGTTGAGTGTTCAGATGTTGGAGCATTCTGTGGGAACTTGAGCTTGCTGAGAGGAATGTAGGCAAAGAGAGGGAGCCTGCAGGGCTTCTAAGGCTTCAGAAGGAAGTAAAGACTTCTTTGGGGCCATTTTTGTGATATTTTAGACCAAGAATCTATAGTTGCTGGTTCAGCTGTGGCTGAAGAATCAGCTGTGATTAGTAAGAGACAAACACCACTGAGGTGAACGAGTGAGTGCTCATTAGGACAGGAGGAAAGTGTTTCCTCAGGCTTAGCACATAGGAGCTGTACTATAAGGTGGCTGAGGTTACATTTCAACTTGATAGTCAAAACAGGCAGTGTATAAGAAGTTTCTCACATAGTGCTGCTTTTGAAGGCATGAAAGAAATAAGATGGAGGGGGCCATGAGAGCATCTGAGGCCTGGCACCTCCAAAGGGGCCATTAGTAAAGCTGTAGAGTCAGTTGCAGTGGGTTCTCAAGGGTGTTGGAGATGCCAGGGCTGTGGTATGTTCCTCAAGGACAGTGGCAGGTGTGAAGTGGGGCCGGCTTGAGCTCACCAGCCACGCTGTGTGTGCTGCAAACAGCAGCTCTGGAGAGTTGGCTGCCCAAACCCTCCAGAGCCCACGAGTGAGGCCCAGGTATTGGACACTGAGCTACGGAATTTGGCTTTACATTGTTAGATTTTTGGATTTTTCTCTGATCTGAATTTCCTATTCCCTGGTTCTTCCCATTCAGAATAAGAAGATAGTTAACTTTTTTTTTTTCATTTTCAGGAGACCCCAGTTGAGGGACTTTGGGTTTTCAAAGAGAGTTTGGACTTTTAAATATCATAGAACAATTTAAAGACTATGAGATGTTTTTTTTTAAGTTGAAGTGTGTTATTAACTGTGATGTCAACACAGCGATAAGAAAGGAAAAGCTATGAATTAACAGTGATGTGTTTGTGTTTCAAGTCGACAAGAAGGAGACTTTCCTGGTTAGACTTCATTGTCAGGCTGACACAGCTTAGAGCCAGTCACCTTAGAAAAGAAGTCTTTACTGAGGACTTCCCTAGATCAGACTGGCCTGTGGGAGGGTCCAGCTCCCTGCTGTGTGGTACTGTCTTAGGCAAGTGGACCTGGGCTTTGTAAGACAGTTAGCTAAGAAGTGGGACCACAGTGTTCCTCCACGGTTCTGATTCAGGTTTCTGCTTGAGTTCTTTCCTTAACTTCCCTCACTGACGGACTGGAACCTGGAAGTTTAAGCCAAACAGATGGTTTCTTCCCCTAATTTGATCTTGGTCAGTTATTTTTTTTTTTAACACAGAAACAGAGGTAAACTCAGGCAGTATTTGAAGGCCTATGAGTAAGCATACCACAGAATTACTTGCATATCTGTTTATTGTGACTAGTCACGGTAGCCGAGTATGAATCAATCTAGGTGTCCACCAGCAGGTAGATGGATAAAGAAAATGTGGTTTATGTATAACGAACAGTGTCGCCTTTGAGGAAGAGGGTGTTGTGGGCAAAGGTGGCTCTGGAGGCTTCCGGTTCTGGCAGCGCCCTGTGTCTTCGCCAGGTATTGTGTTTGCCCATGTTCAAGTTGAGCAAGGACACATCCTCTCTACTGAATGTCCACGTTACTGAGTAGTGTTTGGTGCAGCACGTGAATTGCCTGGCTGGCTTTGTAGTATCTCCCACGGTATCTCAGCACACTGTGGGATCACAGGGACCTCAGCACAGTAGCAAAGTGATTGTGATTCTGGCCGGTCAGGTGTATATACACAGCAGGCATCTCTCTTCAGCACTGCCTTCTCCTGCGAGTGTTATTCTGCACACCACCCCCCCTCCCACGGCTTCTCATGTCTCCAAACCTCCATTCCTTTCCTTCCTTCCTCCTCACTCATCCCACTTTCCATCCAGTCGGGATGCAGGGTTGGGCCACCACTGAGAGATCATTGTCCAGTGTGACTCCAAGTGTAGATCTGATAGATGTCAACTAGTGTGGCTTCTGGATAAGCAGAACTGTGGTGGCCCACTCAAGGTGTCCAGGGCAGACTTTGTGGACACACGGCACTTATCAGCCATGCTGACAACCTGTTTGCACAGGCTCTGCCCTCACCAGGTCTTCAGCCCTCAAGTATCTAGTAACTGCTGGCAGTTGCTTTGCCTGGTAAAATTTGGGATGGTAAAACTCACTTATTGGATGTGGCATGGAATGAAACACCCATGAGATACAGTTTAGCAATTTCTGTTGGTAGGAGCTGTCTGTCATGTTTTTTAGATCACAACTATCATTCTGTGTTGATTCTAGCACACAACGAGGCCCCTGCATGTGCTAGGAGGTCTATACTGCAATTTAGGACTTGATCTAGGAATGAGCTGCTCCATTTCTCTGTGTCAGTTAAGAATTTGGTTACCCAATATTTTTGTTTTGCTTTTCTAAAGGCATGTTAGGGAGAGTAAATGTTTGGCAATTACAAATAATCTCATTTTCCTTCCAGATAAATTAGGACAGTGAAACATGTTGTTTTCATATTAAAAATTTTAGAATCGCCAGATCCTCAGTTTTCTATGGAAGTGTACCAAGCATCACTTCTGACAGACAAGAGGTAGCATGAGCCAGAGGCTCTGAGATGTGGGATAAAAATCCCCCAAAGTGACTGCGCTCCAGGTTCTGTACCTGGCATATAGCACTAACAGCCACCAGCAAGATGACTGTCATCCAGGGCAAATGGTTCTTTTCAACCAAAAAGTTCTGAAACATGCAGGGATTGTGTTCACATCTAAAAGATTACGTACGACCACCCATGAACAAACTATTCTAGATTCTCTGGAAGGTCAAAATCACCCGTGTAAAGTTCCAAAGGCCTTTGGCTTCACTGACAATTTTACAGTTGTCACACTGTAAAATGCGAAGGGGCTGAGGTTTGAGAGTGGCTTGTTCAATATGGGAAAATAGATAGATGCTTTCCAGTCTACTCCACACCGGCTTATTTCTCTTGGTTTCCTTTCTTTACATTTTTCTCTTTTGAGATGTAAGAACACAGAGATAACTTAATGAACAGTAATATGCCAGTCATGCTAACATCCCCAGAACAGGAAAAGTGTAACTCAGCTATGGTTGCTAGGCTTCTAAGCTATATCCTCCAGCATGCTCAACTCCTTCACTGGCTATTGTTAGAATTTTCCCCTTTGCTGTCAATGACTTTATTTCACACAGTGGCAACACTTGAGCTTGTCCCCAGCAGAGAGAAGACAGAGGTGACAGGAGCTCTGTGACTCACTCACGTCAAATGCTCAGTGTGATTACCCATAGGGTTATATGCTTTTCTATAGAGGGATTCTCCTGTGGACCAAGGTTCTCAGATCCCATCCTAAACAACCACTGGTCACAGCAGAGTCCTGAGCAGGGCCCAGGTGGTGATGGGGCACCATCCAACCTCACTACCAGAAGAAGAGCAGGCAAGCAGAATTGCAGGGATCCTGTCTTAGGTTTGCACTACCCAAGCCCTTCCAATCTACAGCACTCCAACTTCAAGGACTCCTCTGGAGTGCCCTAATTAGTATCCACATATTATAGATGTACATAGGGGTTGTACAATTTGTCCAAGGTCACACAGCTACAAAGAGGCTAAGCAAGATTTGAACTCATTCAGTGATTCCTGCCTTCAAGTTCTTAGATATACTCTATCTCCATAGAGCACCCAAAAGCTTCTGAGTGACAAGGACAAAATCATCCAGTATTCATAGCTCCATGTTTTTGCATAGCACCTAATTGTTTAATAAGTGATAGCTGAGCTAAAGGACAACATTACCTGCTTACATCAGATATGCAAAGTGTTTATATAAAAATTAAGTGTCAGCAATGTATTCCTTGCTAGCTTTCTCCAAGGGTACTCTATTTACTTATTTATTTATTTTTGTGCATATGTGTAACTGAGTGAGTTTATGTGTACTATATGTGTAGGGGATCCAACAGAGGCCAGAAGAAGGCAACAGATTTCTTGTAACTGGAGTTACAGGTGGTTGTGTGCTGCAATATGGATGCTGGGAATTGAATCCTAGCCCTCTGCAAGAGCAAGTGCTTTTGAACTGCTGATCCATCTCTCTAGCCTGAGGGTGCTCTGTCACTTGGCACATGGCTCCATGTCAGGAGTCTAACCCTCTAAGGTACTAAAAACCTCTAGGTAAGCTTGCTGGTCTCTTACTGTTTGCAGAATTGCTCAGTTTTGCTCCTTACCTGAAGAGGCAGATAATTATGCTTCCTGTTGTAAGAGACAGCAGAGAAACACTGTAGCCCAAGGTATAAATGGCCTTCACCAGAATATAAAACGTGATCTACAAAGAAATAAAAAACACATCTGTAAGCTGCTGGCCAAATTCACAGTGCAATAGGACATTCTGGTTCCTTCCTATTTGTAAAGTACTCTCTCACACAAGCGGAGTGCTGGAAGATAGGAGGCACAGCCATTTTTATAATTCCACCTCCATCTTGAGTCCAGAAGGACCTTCACTTTTTGAACACCTATCTTTTCTTACAAATCATTATAAACATAATTTTTGCAAAGAAATATTTCAAAGGGAACTCTATTGGCTACCATCAGGGCCAAGAAAAAGGAAGGCCAATATGAGTGGAACTTGTGGGGTCCCTTCAGTGGAGTAGGAATGTGACAGTCTTCTGGGAGTGCATTTCCAAACAAGATCAAGTGGACACACACATATTAAGTCATGGAAAATAACATGGCATCAAAAGTACATGACCAGTTACACAGAGGATCTCTCCTTAAAGAGTGGCTGCATTTTGCAGTTTTTATTTCTGACACTTAGGTTAGTAGGCTTCATAGTTGAAATCTAACATCCATGCAATCATCAGATATGGGACAGAAGGTCCATAGTTACTGCTGTAGAACCACTGGGGACAAAAACAGGGGCTGTGTGTGTGTGTGTGTGTGTGTGTGTGTGTGTGTGTGTGTGTGTGTAGTCATCAAAGAGAAAACCAGGCACTCACAGGACACTCAGATAGGCTGAACCACCCTCCATGCTCCAAAGCCATGCCTGCTCTGCACTCTCTGGTAAAACTAATCCTTGTATGAAAACGGAGAATATGCCTGTTCATATAGGGTGGATTTTATACAATAGACATAACTACTGCTACTAAACCTCATAGTTATGGTACAATGAAGACTTCTCTCAGGTATGCTGGCACATGCCTGCAATCTTAGGACTTAGGAGGTAGAGACTGGAAGATCAGGAGTTCAAGGCAGCCTTCACAGCATAGAGATTCTGAAGCAAGCTTGGACTACATGAGGCCCTGATTAAATTGCTATAATACCAATCTGCTAGGCAAGTTGTATCCACTGATGCAATAGTGGTATGATCATTATGGGAAAACCAACTACTTTCTTATTGAATTTGAAGTCTTCTCCACAGGAGGTACTGGGCACCTTGTCAAGACTGTATGACTTGGGAGACCATAAGCCATAGTGAGGAACCCCCTGGTGTTTCACTAAATGGTCATGTTGCCAAACTGCCTACTAAGTATGCTTATTGCCATAGATTTGTGTTGCTCTCAAGATTTTCAGAGAAGCTTCTTTTTTGCAATGGGTAGTGTGGTTAATGCAGAAACTCCTAAGTGGTCAGAGTACTGAGAACAAGTAAAAATGAGTATTCAGCTGTAGATGGGTCATCTCTATCTATTTCCATCCATCTAAGGGAACGTTGAAAAAGAGAGGTCAGAAAGAATGCAATAGCCAGAGAATGAGTAGGAGAGTTGTGAAATACTGACTTCTGGAAATTACATAGTTGTTGAACACATCAACTCAAAGCAGATGTGGTTGCTTGCACAAGCCTTGCAAAAATTCAAGCCAGCCAAAATTCCAGCATGGATTGGAGAGGGCCACCAAGGCCACACCCTAGTGGTGCAGCTATTGGTAGTTGATGGCTGTGGACGGAGGGAGTCACTTCTCTTTGGGGAAGTGGATGCTAGTAAGCTAGCTGCCCGTGCCCAGTGCATGGTAACATGTCTATACACATGTGGTCAGCATTAATTTGGCTCAGGGGCTGCTGCTGCTGCTGCTGGTGATGATGATGATGATGATGATGAAAAACAGAAAACACAAAGTTGGAGGGGAGACATTTCAGGGTATACTGGAAAAGTTGGGTAGAGGTTAGTAGGGATGGATATGATCAAAATATATTTTATAATGTACAAAATTCTTAAAGAATAAAAACATAGTATAAAAAGCTATGCAGGGGTCTGTTAGGTTTGCTCATAGTAATGTTACAGTCTAGTCATGTTTGAAAGCATCACCCTATTAAGGTTGAATTGCAGGAATTCTCCTTGTTGGTACTAGGTCATAACATAAAGTTCAGGTCACAGGAGAGCAGAGAACAGAGGAGTCCATACAACCCTCCTCCATCTGCAGGGCGGTCATCATTGCCTCACCTCTTCTTCTCTCTCCTATCAACCCTCTCAAACTTCATTTTCCCATTTCCCACCTCGTCTTCACCCTTATCTTCCTTTCCATTTACATTCACAGAGATCTCCTCACTTTACCCTCCCCTTCTCTGCCCCCATTTCCCTACCTGTCTGTGCCCTCATGCCTCATAATCCTCATCTCATCCCCTTTCTACTTGCATCTCCTCTAGTCTCATTTTGCCATTACCCCCCCCCTCCATGTCCCCTCATTCCCATCTCTTTTATCTTCTGTCTTAGTTACTTTTCTATTGCTATGAAGAGACAGTGACCAAAACAATTTATAAAGGAAAGCATTTAATTGGGAGCTTGCCTACAATTTTAGAGGGTGAGTTATAACCAATGTGGTTGATATATTGTGCACCCCAATAAACTTATCTAGGGGTCAGAGACAGAACAGCCACTATATTAAACATAGAGGTTAGGCAGTGGTAGCACACACTTTTAATCCTAGCATTCCAGAGGCAGGAATCTGTCTGGATCTCTGTGAGTTCAAAGCCACACTGGAAACAGCCAAGCATAGTGACACACGCCTTTAATCCCAGGAAGTAATGACAGGAAGCAGAAAGGTATTTAAGGCGTGAGGACGAGGAACTAGAGCCTTTTTAGCTTTTAGGCTTTCAGTAGCAGTTCATCTGAGATCCATTCAGCTGAGGACACAGAGGCTTCCAGTTTGAGGAAACAGGATCAGCTGAGGAATTGGCAAGGTGAGATTGGCTGTGGCTTATTCTGTTTCTATGATTCATTCAGCATTCACCCCAATACCTGGCTCTGGGTTTGTTTTTATTAATAAGACCATTTAAGATTCGTGTTACAGACCACTGTGGTGGGGAGCATGGCATCAGGCAGGCATCCGGCAGGCATAGTGTTGGAGCAGTAGATGGGAGCTTACATTTTATCCACAAGCAGTAGGCAGAGAGAGAGTGAGACTGGGCCTGGAATGGGCTTTTGAAATCTCAAAGTCCACACCCAGTGGCCTACCTCCTCCAACAAGTCTACACTTCTAAATATTCAATCAGTTGGGAACCAAGCATTCAAATACATGATCCTATGGGGGCCATTCTAATTCAAACCACCACACCTTCCTGTATACTTCATGATCATTTCCCTGTAGCACCCTGTTTGGTCAGTGTATTGGCTACTTTTCTATTGTGATGAAACATCCTGACCAAGCAGTTTCTAGAAGGAAGGGTTTATTTGGGCTTCTGGTTTCATAGGGATAAGAGTCCATTCATGATGGAGAAGTATGGAAGCAAGCAGCAGACATGGTAGATGGAGCAGAAGCTGAGGGCTCACATCTTTAATGGCAAGCACAAGGCAGAGAGAGCAAGGTGGGAATGGCACATGGCTTTTGAAACCTCAAAGATTGCTCCCAGTGATATTCTTATTCCAGTAAGGCCACACCTACTCAACCCACCTGAATAGTGCCACCAACTGGGGACAATAGGACCGTCTCATTCAAAGCGCCACAGTCAGGTTCCTTTCTCTGAATTCTTTTGGTGCAAACATACTTAGTACGTTTACACTTGGTTATATTTGGCCTTATACAGTGCTTCTAGAAAACCTGCTATGATTAAGCAGCCCTTACCTCAGCTTTACCTCCTTACCCTCATCTGGCCCGGGGTAGTTGGCAAAGCAGAACGCTGGTACTAGTATGGCCTCTTAGCCCCTCATGGTGTCCTGTCTGGGAGGTCTGGAGAGGCCATCTGACCAGCTAAATCAGGGCTTGGGAGGGTTGAGCTTGGAGCCCTGTCATCATGTAAACACTCTGACACTGGTGCTGTACAGCCTCCCACAGCAGCTACCCGGGACGCACCAGTCTTCCCTATTGGTGTGGGAACGCGCACATGTCATACTGACTGAAGGGGCTGATGTGGTAGCAAGGCCTCCATCTAGAGAAGCAGGACAATGACAAGGAAAACAAATGTGCAAGTTTCTTCTACCCAGCCAATAAAAACAACATATTTTGGTGACGAGGGCATTTCAGCATGGCTGCCTTCAGCGCGAGTATCACAAACCATCAGCAAGCCAGAAACCTGTGAAAGTCATCATCCCTTCTGCACCCGAGGTTCCAAGGCTCCACTCCAAGGTAACAAATGAATACTATCTCAAAAAAATCATGCCATTCATTCATGATGTGCAAATGGAATAACACACACACCTGGCTAATCAACTCTGACTTTGAGGCCAATATATCCATTCCTTTTATTCACCCAAGGCACATCACCAAGTGCCCGCTGGAGCCAGGGATGTCAGTGATGCAAGCAGACAGGAATCAGCGTTCCAGGGACCTATGCTGGGGAAAGAGGCCAAATCCAACATCCGGAATGGCTAGAGGAGCTGCATGGTATGTTACAGGCTGTTATGGAAAGTAGGAATGTAGAACAAGGTTCACACCAGCTGCACTGGCTGAGGCCAGTTACAACCATGACATTATGGTTAGGGTTGGGAAAGGGGAGGAACCTGGTAGAAGGAATGGCCAGTGCAAAGGCACTCTGGCAGAAAGGGATGGCAGGAAGGTGCAGGTCACACAGGCTGTGAGGACATGAGGCTGCAGGAACAATAAAATCTCGCTGCATCTCGGAGGAGTGGGACAGACGTGGAGCACAGACATGTGAGGCTCTTTCCAGTGGTGAGTGCATGTTCCACTGAAACACTGTGGACAGTCTGAATAGTGATGAAAAGTATTCAGAGGCTAACAGATGGTAATATGAAGAAGGCAAAGTCAACAAGATTTCCCAACAGAATAGACAGAATGAGAGACAGGGGAATCCAAGGGACTTGGTGGAGCAGTTGGACCACAAATGGCATGGACCACGAAGGGGGCGGGGCAGGAAGAGCCATGGCTATGTCTTCTCCCGTC